TTAGCAACGTTCTTCCGACGTCTGATTTCTTTTCAAGAAATGCGTTTCTAAAGTGCATAAACTTTTGGGATTGACTGTCTAGCCAATACATCCTTAAGAAATTCAAGCTTGTCCCTCATATCTTGCTTTCGCCTTCTGCTCGGCAGAATAGCTAAAAAGCGATTATAATTGTTTTTCAGAATTTGTTTAAATTGTCCAACATTTTCGTACAGTAACAAGCTTCTTTCGATTTGCATTTGAATTTTGATGTTGTTTTCACGTATAAGATGAATAAGAATTTCAAGTGTTCAAAATTACAGTGAATTTTGTTATCTCAACAGATTTTGCATTTCTATACTTGTAAAAATTCAGTGCAAGCTTGAAATTGCAGGATGAACAAATTGTACAAAATGTGTATGTAAAACGATGGGAGTGTCGAAATTCCGAGAACATCTAAAGCCAGAATCCCTCTATCAATTGAAAATCACTTATAGAAAGCGTCATAGCCTAACGAGTCGCAAAGGGAAACGTGAATCATTGCCAATTACAAAATGACCAATCTCCCATTTCAAAGCTCCTCGCTTCTCGCTCATCCGTTCCTCGCTTTTTTTTTATACATGTATTTTTTGTTTCGTTTTCGCTTCTGCAACTTCTCCCTTGTAAAATTCCGAGACACCTAGAAGTCGGCTACGCGCGAAAAGCGAAAGTCATCGCGACAATAATTGACAACGACCGAGAGACAGAAAACAATAAAACTTAAAAAGAAAGAACGTGAGAAAAATAGAAGGAAGTCATCGTACATCGAGGATCGACTGGGATGAAATCATCAAGGATCAGTTGGACATTCAAGATCAAGAATAATCATCAAATGTATCTCTTTTTCAAATGTCCCTCTGTTAAAACTTCACAATTTTTCTGATTTGGGATGAAAGGAATGATAATTGTAGTAGCTGTGTACTTTGGCAAGATTGTGAGGAATGTAAAAATCCCATAATCAAGAAATCTGCAACTAACAATTTCAAATAATTTTAACATTTCAAGTCAAACTAATTAACGTAAATGGACCACAACAAGATGAAAATTGAATGAATCATCTCCAAAAAAGAAAATCCACTGAATCAGAATTACGAAGAGAATTCAATTCTCAATAGTTTTCCCAAGGAATTCAGGAAGTTCTCTAAACGTGTCCCACTTAGGAAAAGATCAGTCGGCGATCGATTAAAAATGATTGATAACACGGTTGCCGGTACCGGGACCATAATTTGAATATCAAAGAGGTCCGGGGAGACGCCGGAAGCGTCTAATTTGAATCCGAAGTTGCGTGAGGACCCGAGGGGCCAGAGATCCAAATTGAGCCTGGTAATAACCTAGTTTGTGGACGCTGACCACTCTAAAGAGGTGATACGCTACCGTGGGACCACGCCCAGGCCCAGAGCGATATGTTTCTGGACCACCGTCTGCTCCATGAAACAGCCCATTCGTCAAATCTGATGTAACGAGCTTCAGAGATAGCATTTGAATGAAACAATTAATATGGCCACAAAATGAAAGCATCATCACATCTCAATTGAAAACTGGAGACTCAATTCCCACTTGGACTTCAATACAGAAAATTACCAATTGAAGAACTTAATAAGACTGCAATTCTAATTAAACATAAGCGAATCTTTAGATGAATCTCATTCATTATCAGAGACTCTTAATTACGAATTACTTTAATATAAAAATATGACAGACTGAAGATGTTGGAATCTCGAAATAAAAAGGAGTTATTAGATGAATCATCGAATTAAATGAAACAATACCGAGTTGTTTAATTAATGAAGAATATCTAAATATCAAGGTGCAAGGATCCATCGATCTATCTGACCTTGGAAAATGTATAACAAGATGGCGGTGACGCAACGTGCTTACTGATTTTTCCACCGGATTGAGCATCGTCGTACATTCTTGAAGTGTCTCCTCGGTTTCCACGCAACGCCTATTCGATCTTGAGCCAAGTGTCATGATCGATCGGCCGATCGATCGGCAATGATCGATCGATCGACCTAGGTGGGACCCAGAATGTTCATTTACAATCTGATCATTCTCTTTCAATGAGATATAAAATAAGAATTTGTTGCAGAATTTCTATAAAAACTAATTTCCAGATACACTTGATACTTGAATTCATGAATTATAGAACTGTACATTTCTTATCGTTCTTTTTTCTCTGCTCTCTCTGCCTTTAGTAGTGGATATAATAAGGAGGTATCGCGAATTATAGATCGCGATCGATGCTAATTCGCGAGGCTAGTTTTATAGTCTCTCCACGTTTGTAAATTAGAAATGTTATTAACACTTATGTTATTAGATACATGCAAACGTAGGGTGAATGAGAAGCAAATACTATTTAAACTACGGATCTTCCTAAACGAATTTATAACAATTTAAGCTACAACGTCTCGAATTGGATTTCGAGATCTAATATTGATCGATACTGATCACATTGTTTGCTAGCTTAGAAATTGAAGATAACTACGAAGCGACTTTCGAATTTATTTAAAACGAATTAATATTCAATTTGAGTTGAGGAAATTTTAAGTAGTGGATGTAAAATCCTTATTTGACGAGGAAACATTTTTATGTACTGTAAACGATGGAAGTAGAGGGATATATTATATATTATATTATTTGTAATTACTCTGGCTCACAGATTCCTTCGCTTCTAAAATAATCTCTTCACTTATTCAAAGTGTAATTGACACAAGTATTTTTTATAAGAATTATTACTACGATTTGAAAAAGTATCAAAATAAATTCAGGTAAAAATGAACGAATGCAATCATGTTGAAACGTAATACGAAACATTTTTTAATGAAAATTTCCTAACATCAATTCAGCAGTTTGTGAGTGTACATAAATCATGAAAATTGCGAAAAGCGAAGAGGTCTGTGAGTCACCGTGCATATTGGTAACTTGTATCTACGCCTGTATCGTCTAGCTTTACAATGAAACAAAAAAAGTAAAGGAAAATTGTACCGGGGCGCACAGTGAACGGTGAAATTGCGAGAGAGTGAGAGATTGACGAGAGAGGAGAATACGAGCGAGAGTGAGAGTGACAGATCCTGTTGCTTCTTTTTATATTCTCTGTATTCTTTTTTGGGGACAAGAGAAGAGAGACGAGCAACCTCTCCGTGTGTTCTCGGCGAATCGCAGTGTAATAAATTTTCGAGTCGTACAGAAATTCTATTTTTTTTTTTTACCCACCGCCCCTACTCAGGGGTGGGTCAATAAGAATTATCATATGAAGTAATACTGATTAAAAAATAAATTCCTATTTATCAAAATGCATGAATTCATTAATTCTATAAATTATTTCGTTAAATAAAATATTCTAATGGAACACAGGAATGATCATTTATTTTATATGAATATTCTTATTGATTCACTCTTATCCTCTTAATTTAAGTATAGAACCATAATTAGAAATCAATTAATTTTACGTTTCAAGATCAGCCCAATTTTATATTTAAAAATAAAATACTTTATGTTTAAAGATTCATTCAGATAAAAATCTCGTAACAGAAAAAGGGAAAAGACAAATAACAGGAATGGAATGAATGATAGAA